CAGTTGACTCCATGACATACCTTATGATACAACGCGCACGCGCTAACCATGCGGTCATCCAACACCCGCCTCCCACACATACATAATCGTTTAAATACAAACTACTTACCTAAGCCTATTCCAACGACCACCCTACCAACCAGCAACACAATCTTGCTTTTGCAGACGGCCATGATGATTGCTCCACCAGTAAACATAACACTGGCGGTCATAATTGTCTTCTTTCTTCCTAAATAATCCGTACAAATACCAGCAAAAATAGAAGCTACAGCAGCAGCCCCTGTCGTACCACTCACGATCGATTCCACCCATAACGTGTTTAATTTAAAATAAGGCTTCAGGAGCAACATGGAGCCTGATACTATCCCTGTATCGTAGCCGAATAAAAACCCTCCAAGTGTTGCTACACACGTTAAAATATACACAAATCTCTGATTAACAGCTGCCTTGTGGACATCCTCGCCTTCTGTCTTCGGCATGTTGAAGCTATACTGTATTAACTATATATTTGACGATACTGGTCAAGAATCATCCATTGTTATGTTACGGAGAAAAACGGGCAGATCTCATTTAAAATGCAGAACAAATATAATATTTATCTACCGAATTATTCAAATATAAGCAAACTCTTCAGTATCATCCAAAACCTATCAAATATAACAAAATCTCTCTCTTTTAAACTGACAATCACTCCCAAATAAAATCGAATCTCCCTCTATTGAATAAATAAATCACTCTCAAATCTCTCCTTTATCCAATATCAAAGTTGTTCATCTAACAGTGGAAATTGTGTATATCTGTAGTTCATCCACATGACAACGCGATCTCCATGTAACGTTTTATTTGTGTCGTATCGCTACTAAAACTTGTTCACAACAGGCGTTTAACTACAGAATCACCTTGGAACATCACTGGTGTCAAACATCGACTCCATAACTCGAAGCACTTCTCCGCCTGTTAACTTGAAATGTGAATCGACGTCATGACCCTCTTCTCGTCAACAAATGTGTTAATCTGAACCCCGGTGCATGCGTTCAGATGATGTCCTACCGTGGTAACTGTGAAATGATTTTGTCATTCCCGTGTTGACAAAGATTTGTGATATCTTTTTTTTATCTAGTTTATTTATTCAAAGATCAGATAGTTGACGTTCACCTTTTTTATTATCAAGGTAATCGTCTTGATATTTGCCGTAACAAGCAAGATCGTGAAAACTCCGTAAGCTACAACAGGTGCCCGTCGTAAGCGGAAAACGGAAGCACGGATATCTAATCAGATTGATCTGATCTCGATCTTATGTTAGATGTTTTTACAGACCAATCAGATTAAATACAAATCTATATCTCGTTTCGTTTTTTTATACTTTCGATAGCCTACATTACCCGAAGATCTGACCGGATGTAGCGGAAAGTCGCGTCGGGGTCATACGAGCGTGTTTTTTACCCTATGACGTCAGACACTTGGTTAACCAATCAGCGTTGATGTTTCTTGTGAATTACCCACAGTTCCTTGCACCTCACGCCAAAAACTTGCCTCAACAGACCGTTTCATTGGCTAATCCCGCATATCATCAAGAACGCGGATTATATAACATCTCTTCCAGATCCTAGTGTAGTAAAAACAAGGAATACGACATTTTGAACTATAAAAAACGAAACGAAAAAGGATCTGTGATTTAATTAGATTGAGGTCAGACTAGATATTGATGATGTGTAGAAATGGTCCGACATGATATAACCTAAAGGGGCTTAACATCTGGTCCCTTTGTAGTGTCCTGTACGTGGGTTTGTCTTGTGTATGTGTTTGTGTGTGGTGCGGTCCCCCTGTACCTAATATTAAATGTAGAAACTTCCATATCTTCCTTTAATAACCTATATGTTACGTTCAATACATCTTGTCCTATCTATAACTACATATAATATAGTGAAAACGGATTTATAATTAATAAAGCATGCACCCGTTCCCGCTGTCTGCAGATGACGATATAATAAGTGAACACGATTTATAATGAATGACATGTGTACTGGTATACTGATCAATGTTTAGCCTACATATGGAGATATAATATAGATAAATTAGGTTTTATCAGTGAATTATCACAATATAAATTGTCATAACAAGGTTACAGATAGTGTTATAATATAGTATACTAAACCAGATTATATCGCTGATTCACCTTATAATACAATCCTCAGTCAGTTATTGTTAAACCAGAGTTTTTATAACAGGAATGCTGTGGACCCTATTTATAACATAATCCTCGGTCAATTAATGTTTTTATAATAGGCATGCTGTGGACCCCCTTTATAACTCAATCTTTGGTCAATTAATGTTAAACCAGAGGTTTTATAATAAGCATGTTGTGGACCCCATTTTATAACTCAATCTTCGGTTATATAAATAAATAGGAGTCGGGGTCGAATCTCTACCGTTGGTCGAGAATTCAGTGTGGTTTGTCCCTGTCAGCATACAACTGATTCCCCTAAGTACCAACATACAACTGGATCCCCTAGTACCAGCATACAACTGAACCTCTAGCACCAGCAGAAAACTGATTCCCCTACCAGTATACAACTGATTCCCCTGGTACCAACATACAACTGATGCTATTGTATACAGCTGATTCGCCATCTCCTCTGAGAAAATCGACCATAACCTTTGGTCTGTTCATGAATCCTTAACAACGAATGTATTGTTTATAAATCATCATGGATGACATTAAAAGCCACGGAATAATAATCTGTTGGATAATCTACGATGTTTTCAGTCTCGACAAATCTATTTCTTAAATTGATGTTATTTTATCAGTCAACAATGCGAACGTAAAGTTGGCTGGTCCTGCTGCCAAAGGTCCGGCTTTCTCTATGTCTAGGTTTTGTGGCGATGATTCCACCTAATGACCAGAAGAAAAAGTTCTAATTGTTAGGATGGGACAAAAAGCGGCATCCTGTGTATACGTCGGAATCAGATAAAGAGTAAGCGAATGTCCGTCTATTTTAGTCCACTGGGTGCAGCAACTGATCGCCCCTGTGTTCCAGTAGAACCACCACGACAACCCTCCCAGATCAATTGTATTTTATGAACTCCTAAATTCACCCAGTGTTTTGATATTTTCATCTCTCAGTATTACACGTGGTCACACAATCAGTTCAACTGGTCATATTTCCATTATTGAACAAAAACATTATTTGATAATTTTATTTCTAAGCTCGACAAATTCAAAAATAAAAGTCAATTCCTATAAATATTAAAAGCTATAAATATTACAATCTAGTATCCTTGTGCTGTATTTCTGTCATTCTGACACTATAAATCTCCATTTCCCGCTGTTTCTCTGCGCGGACGGAAGTAGACATGAACAACTGCTCCACTTCTTCTAATGTTTTATCACGTGTTTCCGGTATGAATATTAAAACAAAGATAAATCCGAGAACACAGACACCAGAGAATAACCAAAAGGTTCCTAGAAAAAAAGGGTAAATGGACAAAATTCTCAAAGATTGAAAACCCGTCGGTTACATGTATTACCCGCATAATTGCATAATCTGTTGATATTTAATACGCATAGTATTACTATATTTTGAGATATATATTGCGTATAGTATTAACATATTACTATATTTGGAAATATATATTGCATACAGTATTACTATATTCGGAGATGTAAAATATCACGTATAATATTATTATATTTTGAGATATATATATATTACGTATAATATTATTTTGTTTGGATTAGGTATAATATTACTCTATTTGGAGATATATACTACGTACAATATTACTATATTTGGAGATGTATACTACGTACAATATTACTCTATTTGGAGATATATACTAGTACAATATTACTCTATTTGGAGATATATACTACGTACAATATTACTATATTTGGAGATATATACTACGTACAATATTACTATATTTGGAGATATATACTACGTACAATATTACTATATTTGGAGATATACATTAAGTATAATATTAATATATTTGGAATTATACACTACGTATAATATTACTATATTTGGAGATATAATACTACGTATAATATTACAATACTATATATGTTGAGATGTATATTATGTGTAGGTTTACTATATTGAGTATACAATACTTGGGGATATATAAAGTATAATTACCATATTTGGTGATATTTTCTGTCATGGTAATAAAGGTGAATGAAACCAATAAATTAAATGCCCAGTTAGTAGCTGTTGATATAGATATGCAAGTACTTCTCGCCCATAGAGGATAAATTTCTGAATTAATTGTCCACGGCATTGGACCCATTCCTATAATAAAATGGTAACAGAATAAAAACTAGAGCTGTCCTAGAAACAGAGAGAGAGAGAGAGAGAGAGAGAGAGAGAGAGAGAAAGAGGGGGAGGGGGGTTACGTCCATCCAGTACAAACCAGGTCATATCGAGACTAACATAATATGGTTCAATTTTATTTCAATTGCATTCAATAATTCGCTTACACTTAGGGGTCTTTAGCAGTGGGAGGAAACCGGAAGATCCGGAGGAAACCCACGAGATTGGACAGCCGACCCTACTCCTTGTCCCGTACAACCGGGTAATCGAAACCACACCAGTTGACTCAATGATAGACCTTATGATAATATTTTAAAATTCATGTAGATTTGGAACTAATTCCTGAATCCCTTTCCTTTACCCCACCCACAAACTCTCCACCAGTTTCTGTCATCCTCGCCCATGCCCCCATCTTCTACCCCTAATCATAAATTAATCCTCTCATTCCACGATCAACGGAAGACACCATACCTGGGGCAAAGCTAAACACAAAGAACACCATTCCAAGTACTGGCATCCATGAATAGTCGGTACGACAGAATCCATAATCAAAATGAAACGAGTTATTTGGTTGGTTGATATACTGACATCGTCCAATCAAAGACAGTTCTTCCTTATCTTTATTGACAGGTAAACAGGAACCACGTGACAAGTCGTCATAACAAAACCCACAACTTGTATCGTCTATACACGATTCACAATTGCTGAAGATAAAATTGTATTGTATTGTATTGTATTGTATTGGCACAATATTATACTGCAGTAGAATATGGACTATAGGGACCGACCACTATGATCCATTACATCAACCGTACTCGATTTAACAGAACCTGAGGGATTTCCTGACGACAACAAGTCAAGATTACAAGTGAAGGAAATCAAACTGAAATTCAGTGAAATAGAGTTTAACGTCCTACTGTTCTGCCTCGAATGGGATAATGAAGACGGATATATGCAGAAAATGGAAAGGGAATATGCTAAAAATTTCAGTCCAATTGCTCCACACTGAACCGATATATTAGCGATTGGATTTTAAGCTTAGCCTCAATCATCATTACTAAAGTCGGTACGATAAAAAAAACATATTGTATTTTATTGTATTGTATTGGCACAATATTATACTGCAGTAGAATATTTGGATTTAATCATCAATGGGAGTTGAGCAGCAGATCGGATTCAAATCCAGTAGCATCGAGAGTTGATTATGTTCTGGATAAGTTAATAACTGTCTAATTAATAGTTTATATAACATTTCAGGCCTAAAGAAAGACCTGCAATAAACAGGTTTAGCTCTTACATAATGTATGTTTAATTATTATGGTGTAAAGATCGACAGACCTATATTTGATATTACAGGAGCCATTATATAAGCCATCAGTGAACACTTCTGTTATGTTTATAGGTGGTGAATTAAAAGCTGCTAGTTGAAAAGCTACAGCTAATACTGCTAGAGATAATCCAACACCTGGAACAATATTATTCAATGAAGAAGGAAACAAATTAAATAAGTTCCTTTGGGTTGTTTTTGTATCATGTTCTTAATATACTGTTTCATCTGTTCTGCTTTGACTAGGTCAATGAAGTATACTGTATACTGTGAGGGAAACTGTCCTTGTACAGCGGCGACATCCAGTTCCTACTAACGGTTCTTTTACGTTGATGTCAATGTGTACATGGGACCTCGGCTTTTCGTCACATTCGTACGATTATACGTTGTCTCTTGCCGGGCCCTCTTTCCGGCACCACCGAGAAGGGGAATCACACTAGAAAATTCAGATTAACGTTTTCGACCAACACTGGGATCGAACACGGGACCTCCGGGTTATTGAATCAGCGTCTTACTCACCGAGCCGCCGTGGCTCACTTAAACTATAAAAACAATACACTATATACAACAATATACGCCGGGATAAAGTCCCCATTGTCAAGACTATTTCCATATTCTAACAATAGGGGAATTATATCTTTTCAATATAATATATTATATATATATTAATACACACGGTACAATATAGAATACAATTACTTACGCACATTTTAAATGAAGCTTATCTAGTCGTTATCAAGCCCACAATATTGCGAACAACAACACCAACAACATATTTTAATGTTGTATTTACAGATCAATTTCTAAATGTTATTGAAACAAAGTCATCATTGTTCGCGCCAAGCGGATATGTGGTTTTAGGACGAGGACTTTAAAGAACAGAAAGATATAGTCTTTATCATGTCACGCCCAGTGCTTTCAAATTAAACACTCTTTATCAACGCAATTAAACAAAATGGAATGACCAATTAAAAAAAAGATATGAAGAGTCCAGGGGAAGAACGATCTAAGTCACATTTTTGTCTTTTCGCATAAAAATCAAAACAGACTTTTGGACGAGAATGTTTGACGAGAACAGAACAACGAGTCAAAGCCCAGCTTAAGCATGGGCCTGAGGAGCCCAGGTCCCGGGCCCCGCGGTTCATTGCAAAAAGAGAAAAAATTTAAATTCCAGATGAAAGTTTCACGGTAATCGATCTAACGGCGCGAGGGCGGAGACTGAACTATCCCTCAATCTTCTCTGTGAAGTTCCATTCGGTGATCGGTCTAGGCTTCTAGTGGCGTGATGGGCGGAGACCTTCGTGAATCTGCAATCCCCCAATCTTCTCTGTGATTATTCTTGTATTACAGACCATTTAATTGTATGTTACGCATGCGTGTCATTCATTAGGGGCCCCGCGATGTTAGTCAGGCCCAGGGCCCCGCTCCGGTTAAAATTGACTTTGCAACTAGTGGGTTTAATTACAACTTCAAAATCATGTTTAAATACGAATCATAATTACCAGTACAACTGCCTTCAACTTTTCAGGCAAATTAATGTCAAATAAAGGGTACGATGGACTTGTATTTGTCTGGGAGGCCATTTCACAAGGGCCTTGGTTCGATGTGACTCCGATCGTTTTGACCTGAAATCAATTGTCCAACAGAAAGCTTATACAATTTGCTACCAGATGGCGCCATTAACTGGGGTTCATTGAAAAAGTGACTTAGATCGTTCTTCCTCGAGGCTCGTCATACGTATATACATTTGATATATTTGTGTATATACTTATAATGAATTATGAAATATTTAAGTCGCATTTAGCGATTGAGCACATTAAAAAACAAAATGCTCGAAAACGATAAGAGAATACTTATCGAAACGTTGCGCTATATGTGTATAAACAAGTTATTGTTTTTCATGTAAATTGTGTTGTGTTGTTTATGAAATCTTGTTGAATCATCTCAGTGAAATAAACCATAGTAATTGTTATCAATAAACAGTGTTTTGTTTCATTGTGTTCCAATTACTAAGTGTTATTACAGTTATTCAAAGTATACAGTCAATGCTTGTTAAGTACTTTCGATTTATTTTACCTCCTAAACTGATCAACAGAAGAAGTTTCCGTCCCAATTTTTCTACCAACCAGAGACCTAGAAATGTAGCCACAAACAGTACAGCATTTGGTATGACCGCTAACCAGATCGCTTGATCCACACCGAACCCTGCCATACGTAATATGGTAGCACTGTAATAACTGCAATCCAATAAAAAAAATATATATTTATACCTACACAAAAAAATAAATAAAATATGGATTAAAGTACTACATTTGTATATATTTGTAAGTACTTTCGCTAATGCTCTTCACACAAATATACAATGATTAAAAGATAAAGATAATACAATAATGCTATATGCACTAATGAAATGGGGTTTATTGTCATCCTGCTATGTACCGGCTGGGCTAAACAAACAGGCATACGCCATTCCGTGCACTATGCTGGAAATGTTGCCGAAATTCCCACTGTCCGTGGATATTTACGTGCACTCCAATGTATACACGGAAACTTGTCCGCCCCGCCCCCTTCTTGCACCACTCACAAGGGTAAACTACGCCGTAGCTCAAGTCTTGAAATCAACGCCTTACTCACCGATTTGTGTTTGTATGGAAGTTAAAAGATAATTTACACAATATGAACTTCCGCTAAGGTGTTACTGATACGGTGTCGGTTCTCTAATGCCCTGCATTGCCCTGCATATAATATTTCAAACCAGACTACATGGTCATGACAGCTTACTAACATAATAATAATTACATGATATTTGTACTATTTGAATATATTTACATAACTCTACTCACATGACAGTGTTAATTCCTGTTAATTGTTGAAATAACATCAAAGCTGAACCAATTAACGAAGCCTTTAATACGTGTGGCGTTTTTATAATGCGGCCTAGGGTAAAGTTACCCTCTAAAAATATATAAACATTTAAGTCCATTAGCCGTGTGTACGTTTTTGCGGCGTTGTCATGCGCCTTTTCGCTTCTTACGTGGACACGGCCCTATTTAATTTGCATTAAACAGGCGAAAATGTGCGCGTAAACGTCACAAAAATAGGCACATGGAAAACTGGCCTTATACTTCAAGTTAGAATCACCATCACGGCAATAACATGTGGACATTTACAGTACAAATTTAGATCTTGGCTCCTTGGATTTAAACACAAACGCATTGGATCCTTATCAATACAAAATGTCAGCCTTTGGCATCGCCAAGTTTGTATTTTATGTATTTATCCACCGTATAATAATAGTTCTATAACTAATGGACAGTTATTGTAAATACTTAAACTATAGTAGCACAAAACATAAATTTTCCTGATTCTGATTGGTCGAAAAGTGTTGTCCAATGGACAATAAACCACCTCTATTTCATCACAGCGAATAGCTACGCATTCATATTACAGTGTACATTTTGTGCTAAATGATTTTCCTCAACCCAAATCTTGATTGACAACTATCTTCAGGACATTCTGCCCAAATGTACATTATGTAAGATTTAAATAATAGCTCCAAAATAGATAATGTAAAATGAAAATATTGAAAATTTCATTCCAATTCCTTCATTCAGAGCCAAGTTATCACGGTCTGTAGTTTTGAAAAGATGGTGCATTATGGTAACCTGGGCACTGGTATATTCGTGATTTAGCCTCGCTTCCCCATTTTTAAATTAAATTTTTAAAATAGCGAACCGTTCTATTCTAGATAAAATCTCGAGTATCCAAGAGTTGATTATGGTCTTGTTTTGTTAATAAATGTCTAATTAATAGTTTATATAACATTTCAGGCCTAAAGAAAGACCTGCGATAGGCAGATTTAGCTCTTGCACAATGTATGTTTAACAGAAACAAGGTGTGTGTGTGAGAGGGAGAGGGAGAGCGAGAGAGAGAGAGATAGAAAGAGAAAGAGAGAAATAGAGAGAGATGGGGTTTAACGTCCACTCAACACAAACTAGGTTATTTCGGGACTAACATATGCTTCAATTTTATTTCTATAATTCGCTTGCGTGTGGGTTTTTTTAGCAGTGGGAGGAAACCGGGGGACCCGGAGAAAATACAAGGTTAGACAGGCGACCCTACTCCTTGTCACGTACAACCGGGGAATCGAAACTACGCCAGTTGACTCAATGACAGATTTTATGATACAGCGCGCACGCGCTAACCATTCAGCCATCCACCCCGCCCCACCCCCGCAGAAACGATGTATTTCGATTGTATCATCGGATACCAAAACTAGACAATTGTTTCTATAGATCTCAATCATCAATATTACCTTCTTCTTTTATTTTGTTGTCCCTCTCAACAACTTCTTTTATTTCCTCTAATTCAATCTTCACGTTTTGAGTGTTTCGTATTTTCACGAGAACTTGTCTGGCTTCCTCTTCTCGGCCTTTACCCACCAGCCACCTTGGACTTTCTGGTAGAAATATAAAACCTATGAACTGTATGACCGCTGGTACGCCACCTAAACCCAACATATATCTATAAAAAATATGAGAACATTACAGAAACTGGACCGCCCGATCGAAATAAATCCTGTGGCGCTGTCAGAGTAGCGAAGTCAAAATGGTGTGATAAATTTGTCAGATTTTTTTTGTTGTATATGACTTGTTTTGGTTATAATAATAGTAATATCCAACCAGTTTGTTATAAGTAATTTAAACTTCCGGTTTTAATACTAACCTCCAACCAATTTGTTATAAGTAATTTAAACTTCCGATTATAATACTAATCTCCAACAAGTTTGTTATAAGAAATTTAAACTTCCGGTTATAATACTAACCTCCAAATAGTTTGTTTTAGTAAACTCAAGCTACCAGCTATAATAATATGTAACAGGCATTGCCTGAGTAGAGCGAAGCTGATTATTGTTAAATATAAAACCTTCATTCATCATTAATTTTCTCAAGTGATACAAAAAATATTAAATACTTTAGTTTTTATTGAGATAAAAATTTTATACATTAATTTTGTTTTTAAAAAAAGAACAAAAAAGTGTGAGAATTATTTTCATTGACGTAAAAAATATGTGACGTCATTGATTAGACGCGTCATAGAAATAGTTCTATGAGGCGCGTAATCTCGCTTGGGCGAGATTTGGTGGATAGAATTATTTTTGTTAGTTACGTGATCTCGCTTGGGCGAGATTTGGTAAGTTGACATGCGCATTGCCTGTTTTGCCCAGTGTATCCGGTTCCGGCTGAATTTTTTTTTAATCAACAGTCTGTGGGTGACATTTTCAATTACGCTCCTGTGTTACCGGAGCTTCGCTCTATACTAACCTCCAACCAGTTTGTTTTAGTGAACTCAAGCTACAAGCTATAATACTAACCTCCAACCAGTTTGTTTTAGTGAACTCAAGCTACAAGCTATAATACTAACCTCCAACCAGTTTGTTTTAGTGAACGCAAGCTACCAGCTATAATACTAACCACCAACCAGTTTGTTTTAGTGAACGCAAGCTACCAGCTATAATACTAACCACCAACCAGTTTGTTTTAGTGAACGCAAGCTACCAGCTATAATAATAACCGCCAACCAGTTTGTTTTAGTGAACTCGGACTACCAGTTATAATACTAACCTCCAACCAGTTTGTTTTAGTGAACTCGGACTACCAGTTATAATACTAACCTCCAACCAGTTTGTTTTAGTGAACTCAAGCTACAAGCTGTAATACTAACCTCCAACCAGTTTGTTTTAGTGAACTCAAGCTACAAGCTATAATACTAACCTCCAACCAGTTTGTTTTAGTGAACTCAAGCTACAAGCTGTAATACTAACCTCCAACCAGTTTGTTTTAGTGAACTCAAGCTACAAGCTATAATACTAACCTCCAACCAGTTTGTTTTAGTGAACTCAAGCTACCAGCTATAATACTAACCTCCAACCAGTTTGTTTTAGTGAACTCAGACTACCAGCTATAATACTAACCTCCAACCAGTTTGTTTTAGTGAACTCAAGCTACCAGCTATAATACTAGAGACGAGAATACCGATACAGATAAACAGTTGATTTAACGTAACTAATCTCCCTCTAATATCAGCGGGTGCTGCCTCGGCTACATACACAGGCACGGACATAGAGGCGAAACCTGAAAGATAAATGCAGCCAAGTTTATTGATCATTGACCCGTGCTTCATTATTTATTCTTTAACATAATATTAGCAGAGTTTCGTATATGAGGGTGCTAATCTGGAGTCGAATAATGGTGCGCTCTGATCAATTTAAATAGCTTTTTCCCTGATGAAGGTCTTTCGATAAAGCAGACCTAAACGTTGGAGAGAGAGAGAGAGAGAGAGAGAGAGAGAGAGAACAATTACGATTACCCCCTCCCGCCCCACTAAGTGTCACTTCGGAACTAACATATTTATTTCAATAGTTCGCTTGTGCAAAAGGATCTATGGTAGCGGGGACCGGGGGGAAACCCAGAGAAAACCCACGAAGTTAGACATGCAACAGTAACCCCTGCCACCTATTAGTTATGGAGGGAAACCACGCTACTTGACTCAATGACCCTATTTTCTAAAGCGCACCCAATATCCACTGGATATTTATAACAGAACTGAATTGTGATTAATACAAGCAAGTTTTATAACCTTATTATGTACTGGAATTTAATAATGGGGCTCTACGAATTATGGAATTCCACACTGAAATTTCTATAAGGAAAATTGATTTCAATAATTAAATTAAACTATATTTGTATGATAAATTCCCTTATTCAGTTTGTATAATAAATTCTTTGACGACATTTGTATAGTAAAGCCTTGACTAAATTTGTATTGTAAATTCTGCCGTAGACCTGAAATATTTATAATAGAATTATTTTTTAAAAAGTAAATTACCTATTCCCACTCCAACAATTATTCTCCCTACTAATAATACAATAGTAGTTGGTGCAATCGCCATGACAACAGCCCCAGCTGCGAATATAACACTGGCGGCCATGATTGTTTTCTTTCTTCCTATAACGTCTGTGCAGATGCCAGCGAATATGGATGATACGGCTGCCGCTCCTATCGTTCCACTCACAACGGCTTCCGTCCATAGTGTATTTAGTTTAAAGTATGGTTTAATTAACAGCATGGATCCTGAAACTATCCCCGTATCATAGCCAAACAATAATCCTCCGAGTGTTGCTAAACTTGACAAGACATAAACAAAAGCAACCCCACTACTACCACCAGCGCGATCTTCACCACCACCATCAGTTCTTGATCCATCGTCACATGTCTTCCCTTTCTCTTTTATGGACGACATGGTAATATCAGAATATTTGTGTTTAACTGATTGTAGATCTAAATTAGCATGAAATGTAATTGATCTAGATGAACAACTACTTTACGAATGTTCTAGATATTCAGATCAGCTAACACTCTTATAATGTTCAAGATCAGCAAAAGCTGTTTTAATGTTCAAGATCACCAAACACTCTCATAATGTCTTATAATGTTCAAGATCACCAAACACTCTTACAATGTTCAAGATCACCAAACAATGTTCAAGATCACCAAACAATCACCAAACAATGTTCAAGATCACCAAACAATGTTCAAGATCACCAAACAATGCTCAAGATCACCAAATACTTTTACAATGTTTATGATCACCCAACACTCTTATAATGTTCAAGATCACCAAACACTCTTATAATGTTCTACATCTGGATCACCTAGCATGTTCTGAATATAATCCATATAACCCATCAAATAATGCAAATTTACAAACGGTTGGCCACGCTTTGTATCACCAAGACTTAGTCAAGACGGTACCTCTGATATAAAGTTTACACAAGAGTCCAGTGTAGATATCGTCAGTTACTGCACCACCACATCAATGTCACCTCAGACGCAACAAGAAAACATCGATTGTCAGGAGTTTAAATCATCCAGTCCAGCATCAAATCAAAGTAAGGCCTTTATTGATATCTAGTTGAATATGACGGTATCAACACTATTCTGAATTCTCTGACCACGTAAAGTTGGATCAAATCAGTTATGTGTGGAATAATAGCTAATAATCAATGTTCTTATTTTAGCCGTGAGTTACGTAGTTCATCATATTGAAGGTCTTGATTTATCTAGTCTAGAAACGGAAGAATTCCACCCGGCAATTTGTCCTAACTCCGTATTTTAAAGTTAAAGCGATAATTTAACACACTACACACAGTTCGTCGTTATCCGATTGTTGACCTCAGCTGACCCCTGACCTCTATTTATCAGTTGATATCTTGTACATCATAATATGATTTCTCTGTTAATGACAGTGATGTTTATAGATAAAATATATTACAATTCTCTTTCATCTTTTATCTTATGTGGGACTAACAACGGAATACACTATAAGATCATCGTTGGTTGTTAAAAGTTATAGGCCTATTGGACTGATAGCGGAATATGCTATACGATCATCGCTTAATGTTCAATTTATATCTGACCAACACCGGGCTAGACTATAAGATCATCGTTGGTTGTTTAATTCATATCGGACTAGGTTATAAGATCATCGCTCATTGTTCAATTTATACCGAAACTTATCGTCACATAGGCCCCAGGATCATCATGGATTGTTCAATTTATATTGGACTAATAACGGACTATCGTTTGTTGTTTTGTATACATGTATATGGCACTCATACCAGAATAGGTTATAACTAATAACGGACTAGGCTTTAAGACTAGCGTTTATATGGCACTCATAGCAGAATAGATAACAACGGACTAGGCTTTAAAGTTACAATTTCATATTTTCTAAGAAAGTCAAAACATAATTATTTCCATGTCTTTTGCTCAATAGGTTGTCAACTCACTATTATACGATCATAGGTGTCATTCTCACTCTCACACTTAAAACTCATTTACACCGGAAATAATAACACAATTACCTCCCTTGTTATCTATTCTAAACCATGCAGTAGCTATCTCCAAACGTTTGAATTTGAAGTTGAGAATGATTTTTTTGGGGCCATACTATTTACCGGAAAACACCGGAAAACAACCGGAAAACACCGGAAAACAACCGGAAAACACCATTTTATACTGAATACCGGAAAACAGCGGAAAAACACTAAATACCGGAAACATCCTAAATACCGGAAAACACCCTAAATAGGTAACCCGGAGCCTGGTCCTCTGTGTGCGGTTTTGGACCAAGTGAGCGCCGATGAAGAAAGTTCAAGGTCATTACGATGTTCGTTTTACAAATAGCCCCCCCCCCCAAAAAAAAAAAAAATTAAAAAAAATCCGATTTTTTTTTCTCCAAAATTTTGTTGATGCCTATTATGTTTTGAATGTTTTAAAAGACGCAATCAGTCTACCTCCATCATTGACCATATTTTATTTTGTATTTTAATTTTAGTTTTCAGTAAATTTTAGTAGATTTCAGTGTTTCAGTATTTCAGTAGATTAAACACAGCCCTCTGAGGGTCCCGTTATATGCCGGTTGCGCCGGTCTCCTGATTCTTACCAGTAACGCTGGCATCAGGGTGGTACGAATTAGTGGAAGGCACGATTAGGCCAACTCCTCCCTAGGTAACAAAAAATCGCATCATAAAACAGCAAGTATCATCAAAAGCGAGTTAATAAATCTCTGAATAGTTCGAGTTGAAGTTCCAGGTTTAACCGCTATGTGTCCTAATCACCAAACGAAATGGATGCCACGCAATTCTCGGACAGGCTGTAATCTGAAAAGTGTCTATCCTTTCCAAGAGCTATCCATCGCGTTGGAAGGGCTAAAAATCTACTTGTTTCTGAGCTTACTTTCATTCCAGGGTCAAATATGATCACTTGAACCATAATAATATTCAACATATTCCATCATAATCCGAGGGCCGCACACATGATTTTTTTTCTGGATTACTTTTCGAGCTTTATTCCCCAACTCGTTGACCAGTTTTCCTTGAGAAAACCCCAACTTTCGCCCAATTGTCCATGAGGAAACTACATATTCTATCTTACTGCATTGACAGGAAGTGGTAAGCTGGACGTTTGTGAAAAGGGTTGATCCATAAATTTTCAAGGAAGCAATTGTTGTTTTTGTTTGTGAAATAGAGGACTCTAGCCGATGAGGCTACTTTACCCCCCGAGAACCTCAGGCAACCAATTTGTTTTATGTACTACTATCGTAATAAAACATTACTATATTAACCACTTCCTGGTGGCTGAAGACTTACACCGAATGCGTAATCGAAAAAAAATGTCCCCGAGAAAATTTTTTTTCCAACAATCGATATTCGAGATGTCTTCTGTTGCACAAATTATGCTACACTGTGTAAGAACTTGCATCCTTTGATCTGAAGATTGTAGGTGGAAAAGTATCATTTGCACTATTTCAAAGTAAACCTGCATTTTCGTATATCATCCCGTAATTTGTGATTAATGACAATGACTGTGGAAATAATATGGGTTGAGGAATGGAAGATCTATGTTCGTCACGTGACTGGACAATTCCACCCCCCGTCCCACCAAGACGATGATCCCTCCCGGAGCGGCGCGGCGCGGCACGCTCTCTAAAAAAAATCTCGGGCACAGTTTACTCTTCTAAGTTTTCCGGTAGGTATTTAGTAATGCGGAGTTTGGTCCTCGTGTGTGGTTTTGGACCAGGTGAGCGGTGATGAAATAAGTTCATTAACATACAAGCGAGCGATCGCCTACGGTCAAATAAAAATTTCTTTTCAGATTTTTTTTAAGAATTTCTTCTCCCAAATTTCTCTCCAAAAAAAATTCAAATTTTGTTTCCAGTATTTTTCTCTGTAAAATTATTTCCTACGGAATGTTTTTTTTGTAAAACCAATTTTTCGGAAAAATTCTATTTTTTGGGGGGGACAGAAAATTTTTTTCGTCAAAAAAATTTGGGAGAAAAAAAAATCGGATTTTGTAAAACGAACATGACCTTGACCTTCCTTCATCGGCGCTCACTTGGTCTAAAACCGCACACAGAGGACCAGGCTCCGGGTTACCTATTTAGGATGTTTTCCGGAATTTAGTGTTTTTCCGGTGTTTTCCGATATTCAGTATAAAATGGTGTTTTCCAGTTGTTTTCCGGTGTTTTCCGGTTGGTTTCCGGTGTTTTCCGGTTGTTTTCCGGTATATAGTATTGCCGATATTTTTGCCAATTTCTCAACTGGCAACAGTGAATCATTGGATTAATAGGATTATTCTTTAACACGGTAGGACTGTTGATAGATACCATCTATTTTAAGGCTTTATTTTAATAAATTTTAAAAATATAACTTAAAAATATGAAATTGCAACTTTAAGACTATCGTTTATATTGCACTCATAGCAGAATAGATAATAACGGACTAGGCTTTAAGATCGTCGTTTATTGTGTTATATTTATATATCGCGTGGTTTAAAATAACCCGTCTAGATTAGACAATGAGTGTTGGGTTTCCAACCGTTTACTTTCCTGAGCGGTTTTAAGTAAGTAATTAGACCATTTTAATCTACGCGACGGTAGGAACCCAATAGTTTTCAATGATTCTCAGCGAATTTGAACACTTTGCCAACATTGGTTTGAAACTAAACATTAGATACAAAATCTCCACTAAAACGACGCCTGGGTTCTAGTGTAGACTGTTTAATGTTTGGGGGGTTGGATGGCTGAATGGTTAGCGTGCGCGCGCTGTATCATAAAGTCTGTCATTGACTCGACTGGCGTGGTTTCGAATCCCCGGTTGTACGTGACAAGGAGTAGGTTTTCTCCGGGTCCTCCCACTGCTAAAGACCCCTACGCGCAAGCGAATTATTGAAATAAAATTAAACCCCATTTCTCTCTCTCTCTCTCTCTCTCTCTCTCTCTCTGTTTAATGTTTATTTTATATAGCAGTAAGGAGGCAACTACATTTTAATTATCAACATTTGCCTTTTCTAATTTGCATGTAAGATTATGTCTTGCTTGTCACATAAACGATATTGCTGCATTTCGTATTTATATAATAATATAGCCAATGTTTAGGATTGTTAGGCGTTTCTTTTCCTGGTTTTTTGTAGCTCTGTGCTCTGTGTCCATGGAACCAGTATTTATACGTAGGCTATGGCATTATTCATAAATAGCTTATAATTCGGTGGCTTAGTGGGTAAGACGATGGCTAGCTAGCTTGGAGGTCGGGTTCGGATCTTTGCATTGGTCGAGAAAGGTCATCGGGATTTTCCTACCCGGTTTCCCCTTGTAAGTGGTGCAGGACGAAGGGCCTGACAAGGTCAGTTGTCTAGTCATTCGGATGAAACAAAAAATCGAGGCCCCTTGGCGTGCACGTA